GGGGGGGGGGGGGAGAAATGATTGTTTTCAGATCAAATCTTGATTGAACATAAACTGCTTGCTAACTGAAATCGTCTGCGATTGCGGCTACACCAAGTACTGATAACTTAAAAACTCAAACAAAATGTATATTTTTAATGTCTTCATGCAATATATTCTGAGTTATCCACTTTAATTCTGGCCCGCGAATTAATAGGATACAATTTTAAACATGTTTTGGAATTCCGCGAATAAAAGTATACATTTAAAATTAGCGTTCGAAAATAAAATGGGTGCGCAAATTAAGAGAGACCGCGAATTAATCGAGTTATTACGGTAGCAGTCGTTTTTATAAGCAAAAAAGTGTAAAATAATGTTTTTTTGTTATACAGTGTTAATTATAATGCTGCAGTACGTAGTGAACGAAATAAATGCATCTGCCGACAGACTTTCCCCAAGTAAACAAGTCATTGTCAATGACACGTCCCCGTTCCGTTCATATTTGAGTGACATATACATTCAAAGCAGATCATGACCGAAATGCACCTGCATATGTACAACACATTGTGCTAAATCTGAACAAAATCCATCCATGCACGACTGAGATCCGGTTCTGGAATTGTGAAAATACGTGATTTTGATGCATTTTCGGCCTTAAAATGGCCATCATTCCGCTATTGTTAAGCAGATCATGAAACAAATGCACATACATATTTGTGACATGATGTACCTTGTGTGTGTGAAGTTTGAACTTGATCAATCCAGACATGTCTCGGATACGGATCCAGAACTGAATTCTTTAAAACAAAATGGCCGCCAGTCGGCTATTTCGAACTTGATCCGGAAAAAAAAAATGACGTGCATCAAGGTCCTATTAGGTTTAATGTATGTACCAAATTTGAATGAAATCCGTCCATGCATAACTGAGATCTGGGTCCGGAATGGTGAAAATGTGCGATTTCAATGCATTTTCGGCCTTAAAGCGGCCCCCATTTGGCTATCGTTAATGAGATCATGAAACAAATGCACATACATATTTGTGACATGATGTACCTTGTGTGTGTGAAGTTTGAACTTGATCAATCCAGACATGTCTCAGATACGGATCCAGAACTGAATTCTTTAAAACA